CCCGCGGAGATGCTGCCGCCGCTCGGGAAAGCCCTGCGGTGCGAGCGGCTGGCCACGGCGCGGACAGTGCCGGCGCGGAGGCTGTGGCCGACGCTGTGGACGCTGCCGCCGCCGCTGCTACGGGCGCCACTGTTGTTGTGAAGCCCCGACGCCGCCGCTCACTCCGCCATGTTGCCGCCCCCTGCCTGCGGTAGCGGCCACTGCGCCTGCGCAGAGGCTCCGGGGGCGGAGCCCTCGTGCGCCCCCCTCCGTCGCCCTGCCCTCCTTCTCCTTCCACCCGCCCGCCCCGGCACCCCTCGGCCCTCCCCCAACCACCCCGAACGGGGAGAAAGGTGAGCAGGTGCATGGGGAGGCTGCCAGACACTGGGGCACGCCGGCAGGGGCGGGGCGGGAGGCGGCTTCCTTGTGCTGCTCCCTTGAGGCTGGCTTCTCCCTGCGGGGAAGGACACGGTGAGCGTGTCTTGCCTCTGCTGCCACCTCCTCCTTTCCTCTACTGTGTATCCTTCTGCCAGCAGGAGGTTCGTCATCCTCGCGGTTGCATCCAGCTGCTGCTGCTGCCAGGGCCACGTGCCTCGTAAGGTAGGGGAGTGGCAGACGACCTCTTCCTGCGGTCCTGTCCGCCTGCCCCGCCTGGAATTTCCCCAAGGAAAAGTGGCTGGCAAAGCAGAAAAACGCACCGGGAGGGACGATTCTGCACGGCCCGGGAAGGATTCAGATGGAGGGTAACGGGGCTTTTTCCACAGCCATGAAAGAGGCTGACACCTGCTCACACAGGCGCGATTTAAAATAGAACTTGTCAAACAGTGATCCTCTCCGGAAAGGGCTCGGAACAACAAACAGCTCTTAAACTCACCTCCCAGCCTAAAAAAGCGGCTCTTTGTGACACTGCGCGGTAACTAGCTGGGAGCAACAGATCAAATCCTTTAAAATTCCCCAACGATCTTCAGGTACGATGCCAATTAATGATGCCTCCCTTTTTCACAGGCGTGTCCGGTTTGGAGGATTTTTGAAATTATTAAAAATAAGAATGATTTTCACTGCAGGCTTTAATCTTGAAGAAAAGTAGATTTTGCGGTCTACTGGGATACACAAGAAAAAAATCCTTAAATTTTTAAAAAATTAACATGTTCTCAATAATCTTGCTAGTGGTACTGAATTAAAACTAAATAAGCATGACTGCTAGTTTCTTTCCCAAAACGGAGAATGTAATTTTCTTGCCCTTTTTGATAAACATATATTACAAGACACCAGAAATACTAGGTATCTGGAGGTAAAGTCAAATCATTTTAGTTGCCTCTCAAGCCAAAAAAGTCAAAATACAAATTCATCACAATCTGGTTTCTTATTAATTATATTTAACTGGACCTATTAGTCAAGGTGACTCTCAAGACACAGGGACAAGAAAAATTCTAAAATACCACAGGTTATAACAAAAATTCCTTATAAGGAGCGCTTAGGATTCATTCTTTGTTGTATGTTTGTTTGTTTAAACTTCTGCTGAAGTAGTTAAACAAATACTTCTTTAAAATTGGTGTGTCTATGTAAATTAAGTAGCAATGGAATTACAAAACTCTAACATGGTTGAAACTGTATGGGAAATTTTCAAAATATGTATCTTAATGTAATTGGAGATACACTATAATTGAAAAACTGTGACATTTATAGCTGTCTACAGCATTTTGTCTTTCCTAGGTGAGTATTAATCTACTTCTATGACCACTATTACATATTTCCATGAAATTTTTAAAAAGTATATCTTTTTAAATATATAAACCCAGTCTGAAAGGTCATCCTACCATGGTTTTCTATCCCACTATGAATGTATAACCATACAAACATATATAAAACGTATATATAACATATATATGTTTTGAAAGACAGTGACAACCTGAATTTGTTTTCATTGTGAATAAATAGTTTAACAACATTTTGACATTTCTGTTTTGTTTCTTAAGCAATGTGTGTGTGTGCATTTTGGTTTTGTTTTACTTGTTCATTTTTCTTCAGTGGAGACGAGTAGGTGAAGAGGATATCACTATTTCAAAACAGGAAAAATCCACTTCTTTTATATACTTAACTCAATTTTAGAGATTTCTGCAAGAGCCTACCCATTAAATTTTCCAGTAGACTTTCAGCTCCTCACAGGCAGTATGGCACTGTGAAAAGTACACAGAGCTTTGAGTCATACGTGTAATTTATTACCTGTGCATTCTACTCAAGCTATTTGAACATTACTATTCTTGTTTCTTAGAATATCTGTCTCATAGGGAGGTAAGAATTCAGTGACATAATTTTTGTTCAGCAGCTAGAATACACTAAAATATGTTTTTGTATCCTTAGTAGACAGGTACAGTGTGTGTCAAGTGATGTATAAAAACATGTAAGACCGGGGCTGGGGATTTAGCTCAGCGGCAAAAGCGCCTGCCTGGCAAGCGCAAGGTCGTGAGTTCGGTTCCCGGTTCCGGAGAAAAAA